GTTTGTTAAATTTTCTTCTCCAAATCAAATTTGCTCTCTTAAATGTAAAGGACATTAAAAACTCATTGATAAAAAAAAATTATTAAAATTTTTTTTATTCCCTTTTTTGTCTTTTAAAATTTTGCTTGTTCCTTAAAAAATTTTTTTTTCTTCTTCTTTAAACTGCAAATAAATACTTCAGGACACCATTAAATTCAACAACAAACAGTTTTTATTGCAAAATAAATACTTAAAGGAAGAAATATAGAAAAAAAATTACAAAATATTATCCTTATTCAGTTCATAAATATCTGGTTTCATTTCCGCTCGAACCATAATATTAGACAAAAAATTTATATTTTTTTTTTGTGTTTAATTGAGAAAACATTGTGAGGCAAAAAAAATCTTGAATTCATTGAGACCTTTGAGTTCATGTACATAAAATACACTTAAACACATCTATTATTATAGTAGTCGTATAGTATAATATATCATAACGCATAGTATATATAAATGCTCTTTATCAAATAAAGATCCTGTTGTTAATAAAAAAGAGCATTGCAAAGGATCCTTTCATCATATTTAGAACAAAAAAAAAAATAACTCATTTTTTTTTCATGTGTTTTTGTTTTACTGCTGCTTTTATGAAATTATCAAAACCGACTGACAAATGATTGCACGATGATTTCGTTCCATTAAAAGGTAGAAAATCAAATAAAAAAAGGATATTTTCTGTCAGGACGCGCTTTGATGAATCTTATGAAACTGCAAAAAAAGGCAAGAGGATTGACGATTTTTTTGTATTTTCTGGTTTTTATCTGTTCTTTGTTTTTCTTGTTTTCGTTTCTCTGTTGAAAACCTGTTTGAATTTATAATAAAATTCCTTATTGTGTATATATGGAGAGAGAAAAATGAAATAATTCTTGCCTATAGCAATGCTTTATCTTGTTATATACCTTTAAAACATTTACTTGGATCAAATTGAGTTGCTTTTTGCGTGAATATTTCAGTTTAAGATTTTATAAAGATGATAGATCAATTAATTATCCATGAAAAAAGAAAAGGATATTGATGTAGACTTCAAAATTAAGAAAGAAGAAATTTTCACATAGGCAATAATAAAATTGAATTTCGATAAAATTTTTGAATTTAGTTCCGTTTTGTGTTTTCTTAAAATCTCATTAAATTTTAATACTTAGTATTTTTGGAAATTGTTAAGTGTTAATATGAAAAAAGAAAATTAAGAGGATATTACTGATGATAAGAATTTTTATATATGTATATACATATAGGAAATTTGTGGATGAAGTGTGAAGTAAATTGAAATGGGTTTATTGCCAAGGTGTGCAGAATGATTAATATTTTTGATTTGTTATTTTATTGGTTTTTAATCTTTAACCTTATTTTACAAAATTGGATTGTCAAATTCTTTTATTTTTCAGAATTAATTTCTTGGATTTAGTATAGATAAATAACTTCTTTACAACGTTTACACGCTTCAAAGTTGGAATTGAGTTGTATGAATTCAAATTTATAATTAAATATTAAAACTGCCAAAAATCATTAGAAATTTGCAAATCATTTTGTAATAATAAATAAATTTTATATATGTGTTAAAAGTTATATACAATAAAATGCGTGTAAACAAAGTAATTAATTCGTTATAACACCTAATATTGAATTTATAATATAAAGAAATAGAATTTTAGAAATATACCGTGTGGATGCGGTTCGGTACAACACGTATATTTGATTGTATTTTTACCAACCGCATTGTGTATACAATGCAAGGTAAGTTATGCAATGGCACCAAATTTTTGATGTCGAGTTTTCGATGGGAACGCACTTCTAAATGACAGGGAAGTATAAATAAACTATTTTTAGGAACCTGTCGGTCTGTGTGTGCACATTTGAACATTATTTGGCTCATGTGAACTCAAAAATTTTGTACTGACTAGTTTCATATTGATAAAATCTTTTCCAATATAACTCGGTTTCAATGCGACTTGAAACTTAAAGCTAAACAAACTAATTTATTAAGCATAGTGTTTACTTAATCAGGTTTCCCTAAATTCTAAATTGTAATTCTCTTAAATGCTAACGACTTTTGTTTAATCATTTATTAATTCTCTTTCAGTATTAATAACAATATATGTATGTACATGTAATTATGGCCCCAATATTATAGAAAATTTATTAAAATTATATTCAAATATGATTTTTGAGTACATTCCCATTCTACATTGCGTGGGGTTAAACTTCCATTTTATATTTTTTTGAATTGTATTAATCAGGGAAAATTTTCTCATAGCTCTAATTTTGTATATCACCGTTTCATTGTTTTTACCCTAAAATATTCGAGGAAAATGTTACCTAGCGTGCATGTACGGTCTACTGCAATTAAAGATAAATACGATCTACATGATCATTTTTTTCTCATTTGCCATAAATATCATAAAAAATAATGTTTTAGGAGAAAAATTAATATAAGTTGTTTATTAAATAATTTAACTGTAAAAAATACAATATTATTTATTGAAGGTAAAACTATGTATACATTTTCCAAAGTTTTTAAATAAAAAAATAAAATTCCTTCAAAAATTAAAAAAAAATCTCAATCAAATTTATAAATTCTCAATGCTCTATTTGATTTTATAAAATTTTTAAACCTGCAAATTCAACACAACAATATTTTTTTTACAAAATAAACATGAAATTTATTACGATTCCCTCTTTTATTACAAAAAAACAGGGAAACAAAACTACAATTTATAAAATATCACCCTATGCATAAAAACAATTTATTTTTTAAACCACTTTAAATTATTATGGGTAAAGAACTCCCTCAATTTCCAAATTGATTTAATAATCAGGTTTTTTTTTTCAAATGTCCTGCGGAATTTTGACATATTATGTGTAGGTATTTGGTGACATTCATTTTTTCACGTTTCTCAAAATATTCAAAATATTATTTAATATTTATTTTTTAAATAACAAGCAATATATATTCTTAAATAACGTATATATGTAATCGTATTTCATTTCTGTGGTAATAAGAAAAAATGATTTAAGTTAAGGGCAGTAATTCCGATTAAATAAAGTTAATTTGATAATTTTTCCGAATCTCTAACTCTCTAAATATTTTAAAATAAAGAAAACTTTATGTAAACGAAAAAGACACTATTTGTGCTTATATAGTGCAGCTACCCTTATAAATATTTCAAGATCTTATTTTTAATTTGTAGAATTTAAGTAGACATTTTTATTTAACCATGTGTGAATTTAATTTTTACCGATCGCTTTGGATCCATTATGACGTGATAGCGCAAACTTCGTGTGTCGGGTTTTATTTGGCTTCTGGCATAATATTTTTAGTTAAAAGAATGTATGCAATAAATTAACTTGAAATATTATATATAAACTTCGTTCGACAGTACCGAAATCACCTAATTTTAGGAAGAAGTCAGGTATCAGCAATAGCAAATTTTTTGAATGATGTTTCGTAAATTTGATTTGATCATCTTAGAATATTTCGAATTGAATCAAATTTTATTGGATTATGAAAATTTGAAAATAAAGGTTTTAAATGTATAGTTGTATCTTAAATTGGCACATATTTGACAGATATTTTGACTGAGATCTAAAGAGTTAGCTACGATATGATTTATAAAGTTAGAGCGTTTACATTAAGTAGCTTTATGGCTCTACAATGAAATGTAACCAATTTTTGATAATACAATCCACACGTTCTAGTCCCAGTAACATTTTACATGAAAATGTTTTTTGTGGGATTGTTATGGTTTTTGGTGTCATTGAAATTATATTAATTGTTTAGTTTTTGGAATCCCTATCAAATCCGAATTTATTAAATTCATTAAAAATTATTTTCACTACTATATACTAAATGAAAATTATAGAATATGTACTGTGTAAGTAAAATAAAAAATATTTAATTGTATTTTAATTTTTTAGCTTTTTAAGAGTGTAATCATAAATATTCCAGTGTTTTCAATTCATTAAATATAAATAAAAAGTCAATAAATATGCTTATAAAAGTGTGTATGTATAAATTATAAGGGAACTCTTACCGAACGTACAATATGAGAATGGTTTTTATTTTACAAAATATGGGGTACATTTATGAAATTCACTATTTAATTTTTGAATTATTGTTATGGTGACGAAAATGGTTATTTGGTCACATATCACATCAATATGAGAGGGAATAATTTGTTTTATTTTCTTGTTAAAGAAAGATTAAGATCACTTTGACATTTTGTAAAAAAAGACGTTAATTTATGCATTATATGTTTCAAGGACATATTTATAATTTAAAATATGCGGATATATGGATATAAGGGACATTATATACATGTTTACATATATACCTAAATTGGGGAATAGAATAAATATTCGTGAGAAAATTTGAATATGGTAATTAATTAGAGGAGACTATTGAATTTTATAATACCCATTAAAGTATATTGTTATGTTTGTTTTATTACAAAGATCATTTTTTACATAAAATATGATTATAAAACTTACTTATTCATATCGTGGAAGTGTTCAAAATACATTATAAGGGGATTAATTAATATATTTAGAAATTGGGAACTTTTTAGTATTGTTTTTATTAATTTCAACGAATTTAATGAATTTTCCCTTAAATCTAAATAAAATTGATTTCAGTAATTTTCTATTTCATTTTCATTCAATTTAATTTTTATCCCATTAATTGAATTTATTTTCCCTGTCATTTGTTAAAATAAAAATATTTCGGTATAAAATATTACATGCTTAAATTTTAAAATACAATTTTGGTACATTAATAAAAAAATTTGGACTTATGGGTTTACTTATAATAAAAGCCATTTAGTTTATTTTTGAAGAAAATAATTTAATTATGAATTGAAGTGGTTTAAAAAACAACTAAAAAAGAGGTTAACCGTAAACATTTTTTTTTTTGAATGCCAAAAATTTTTTTTATTACCCAATATGAGCAACACTTTAACAAATGGGCAATGAAATCTTGTAATATTAATTCACATATAAAGAGTAGTATTAATTCACATTGGTAAAAGTTCTTTAATATAATCCGTCTAACATTATTAGATCTTAACTAGTATCAAAACTATATCAATTTCATATTATGTTGAAATTGAAGAAATTCAATAAATTCCAAAACCAAAAGAAATAGTAGGTGTTCTGAAGCAAATAAATGACTATGCTATATATTAATAATTATTTTAAATTGATTCATGGTGTGTATAAATTTAAGATAAATTCTCAAAGCAACATCTACTAAATAAAGACTTACAACCGTGTACATATATCTAAATTCGAAAGTTTCCATTCACATGTAAATAAATAATTTAATTGTTCTTAATAATTCAAATTAGTTTTCTGAGTGTATTTTTATCCACAAATCCATTTTTAGTATGAAATTCGAACCTATTGGTATTTATTACTATAGTTTTTATAGATTTAAATTGAATCCGCACATTCCTCTACTATAAAATCTAATAAACAAAATATATAATAAAAATAATAAGGAAATTACAAAAAAAGACTCACTAAGGTATAAAAGCGACCTTCCCCGTTATTTATAAATTTTTCAAAATTTGGAAATTCAATTATAAAATTTTCTTTTTCGCTCGGCAATATAAACAAATTAACGAAAAAAAAAAACGAAAACACTCTAGTTCACTTCTTTTTTACATTCTAAATCAAGTCGACTAAAAAATTTATTACACAAAATATAAAGGACAACAATCGACACAAAACGAAAGCAACAATTTTGCAAATTTTATTTATTGGGGTAAACTGGCGTACTGAAATCAAATTATCCTGGTTAGATTTTTGAAACAACCTAATATTGTATGAAATTTCACGTTTTTTTCTCCTTATTTTTTTTTTTAGAATTTTGATGAAAAAAAAAAAATATAAGTAATCGGATCTAATAAAAATATTCGTTGTTTATTTTGCTTCTTCTTTCTTTAAATGTGAATAAAGAAAACGTTCTACTCTAATTCTGTTTACGTTTTTAACAAGTTAAGTTATTTCATTGGAACTAGTTACTTCTTATACATATATAAAATACAAATAAAAGGAAGCAAATAGGGCTTGAATCAAAAAACAAATTTGGCTGTGAAATGTTTTGACAAAATATTTTACAAAATCAACGTCGATTTTACGAAAAACACAAATTGCCATCATGGGTGTAAAAATTTTCTTTTTGTTACTTTATTTAAGTTTCTGCTGAAGTTCTTGGCACATGTTTATGTGTTGGTTTTATATAAAAAAATAACGACTGAATTTTGAGATTATAAAATATTTGTAGCCTGGTTTTAGTATTCTATTTTTTTCATTTCATAAATAAGATTAATATTCTAATCAAATTGTCTAATAGTATCAAAAATAAATAAAGTTGATCCAAACCAATGTTTTGTAAGGTTAAACTTTTCCCTTCAATAACTCAAAAAAATGTTAATTTTAGCGCCCATTTTTTTCTTTTGGTATTCAATTATGCAAAAAAGCCAGCCACACCTTTTGCAAGATCTAAAAAATGTTTCTTTGAAATAAATAGTCAATAAGGTAAAAATTTTCTACTAAAAATAAGTTTCAAATAAAGATGTAGTATAGTTTTGTAAACGGACAAACGAGTAGGCGGAAGAACATATGAAACTAATAAGCCCCTTTTCCAAATTTTTTTTTGAAATGTGATAAAAATATATAGAAAAAAGGACACTATAATACTTTATTGCGTTATAAAAATTATATAGGAAATTATATAGGAAAAAAGCAACCGTATTTTCGAGCTCATTTTGTGACTTAAAAACAATTTTAAACTGCAAACAAAAATTAATATGCTACTGATGGAAAACTGTTAATAATCTTCTATAAAATTAATAAAATTCTGCAAAAACTTGGAATCAATTCAATTCCACAATAAAAGAAATTATTTTATTTTTATGCAACCTACTTAAACCAATAATTTAAAAGAAAATATCTACATTTGTATGCATACGAAATTTTTGCGTTTAAAGAAGCTAAAATAACTAAATTGGACTTTTCATATTATTAAGAGTCTTCCTTAACTTTCAGGAATTTTCAGTATTGAGTGCAATTCTGATTCTTTTGGTATTTACAAAAATAACTGGGTTTTTCAATAAAATTAAACTCATCGACGCATTCACTGGTGCTAGTGAGAAATACTCAAAGATTGTTATTATGTATTATCAAAAATTATGTATTTTCAAAGCCTAGAAAATAAGAATTGAGAAGAAAATTCAAAAAATTATATTTATTTATAGAATAAAAAGAAATTGCCCCTTAAATACATTCTATTCTAATATAGAGGCTCTTATCAAAATTAATTTGAGCAGCCGTTGATTGCATTAGCATGTGATTCAAACACATTAGTGATTTAAAATTTTTGACTGTTCGCTTTCTCGGAACTAGACTGTCAAAAGAATATATGTAAAATGTTACGTGGTGCATTTAACAGTAACAGGTTCACTGACCGTAAACCTCTTTTGATATCGCATATTATAACTATTATATACTTGTATTTTTCCGAAGTTTTCATAATTCAATGTATACATTTGCTTCGGACAAATTTGAAAAAGGAAACATGACAAGAAAATCTTTCAAATTCAAAAATTAATATATATAATTGCATGTCGCAATTACTTCATTTTTAGTGTAAGGGTTAATTCGAATGGCTGAGTTAGCATTTAGTGGTTACGTATAGTAATAGAAAATAACTGAAATTCTGCTTACTTATAACTAATTCGTACATTGTAACTGTTTTAAATCCATGTACGAACAACGATTATTTTTAAAACGATTCAGTTTAAAACAAATTAAGTTCTAGATTTCAAATTTATTTCATTTCAAAAATTTTATTGAAATATTATGGCTGAACATCTTGAATTATTGTAGAGAAGGCTACTATCATTCAGAAATATCTCGAAAACTGTTGTTTATTTCATTCAAAGTCTCAATGTTTTAAGGATTTTTTATATTCAAAATTGATAAATATTTAAAAAAAATAAAATTAAATGAAATTTTTATCACCCGCAGCGTTACATGGTTTTCTTTATCAATATAATATTGACTTTACTTTTAATATCCAAATGTCAAACAAATTAATAACTAAGATAAAGATATACGTTAATATTTATTTCAATTCTATGTTGGTGGTTGCAACATGTATTTTCATTCTAAAATGATAAAAAAGAAAATTTAAATTATATTTTAAATGAAAGATGAAAGTCACCGGCGCAAAACATGAGTTTTACTGTTTATATAAAAACAATACCCAACTAATTTTGTTATTCTTTATCGATATAGATTCTGTTTTATTTTCAATAGACGCTCGTACATATATACATATACGTACATATATACATATATATGTTTGTACCAAAGGTGTACAATGAGAATTCAATGATTCTAAAATTTGTAATAATTTGTTGTTTACTGAAAGCATGAAAGTGAAAACGGTGACCCTCTTACAAATGAATCCGGATTATTTTTCTGGTAGCTAATTTTATACCAAAATTAAGATATATACCCAAGATTAGCATAGAAACCTACGATTATCTTTTAAAATTCACATTTCTTTTTATTAAATTAGTTGTGCTGTATACAAAATTGTGAAGATATATTTTCAAAAGATTATTTGCCCATATCATTACTAATATTACCTTGATTTTCTTAAACATATTTTGTATTTATTCGTTTATCTTACATTTCAAATCAAAGGAACATTATAGAGAAATTCAAAACTTTTTAAATCCTAAATATATACAAAGTGTGAAGATTTCAGACTATATGACTATTATAAAATAACCTTTTCAAATTTTTTCGCTCTGATTTGACATTTCTCCGAAAATTAAGATGAGAAACGTGTGAAAAATTGATAAATTTTATTATAGCAACAAAATATATGTACACCTTATTCTTTATAAAATTTTTTTAAGGTTTATTGTTAATGGTATATGATATTACCAGTGGTTGTTTAGAAGAAAAAACGCAAGAAATTATTAATGAAATGATTTTTGATATTCTTCGAAAATTTTAAATAAGAATTTAAAGTTCTGAAAATTTGTGAAAACGCGAACTGCATAAAAACAATATTCACAGAATTTCTTTGATTGAAAAAAATAAACATTTAAATAACCGCATATTGTGCTATACAAGTTAAAAATTTGTTGTCTCATCAAATAGCCCACCTATTTAATAGGTTCGCAATAGTTTTGTAATTAAATTATAAATAGCAAGTGAAAACGTTTCAGTCGGTATATAAACCGATCAAATTATACCCTTCACCTTGACAATCTGAGTTTAAAAGTTTATTTTTGAAATGTCTAGAATTAGCTTTCATTGTTGTACAGTAATTACTCGAACCTGTCAAATCACTCTATAGAAACCAGTAATCAACCTGTAATTGAACACACAGCTGCTAAATTTTATAAATCTAACTTTATTATTTTTTCGAATACTTTAAATTAGCTTTTGGAGTTCCATGACAGCCATTCTACCAAAACTGCAGATATATATCTAACCTAAAATTGGACACAACATAGCCAAGTTTCATGAATCTAACTTTACTAGTTGTCCAAATATTTAAAATTAGCTTTTTGAATTGTACGGCAGCTACCCGAACCAGTGCGGCCATTCCATTAACATTTTCAGAACCTATATAAAGTATAATTGGACACATCTTTGCAAAGTTTGATATATTAGGTTTTGAAATATTTAAAAAAAGTTGTATTTGAGTTGTATGGCAGTTACCCGAACCTGCTGTTCGAATTGGTCCAATTACAAGAGCAGCCGTGCGACCAAATGGACGGACGACCATGTCTAAATCGATATATATATATATATGTCCGTACCGAATATGACTCCGAATATGACACGAAGTGCATATACCCTTCACGAAGGTATACGGTATAAAAGTAAATAAGTAAAAGTGTGAGCAAGTTAAATTTAAATGTATAATTTTGGGTATCGAAAAATTGCGTTTCTCAAAATTGAAATTTTATTTACAATTTGTCTTTTAAGGCT